TGCCAGAAGATCTATGAGATAAAATATGGTGATATTTTATAAATGGTAATGTGTTAGTGTTCTTTAAGATTCTAAAAGAAGAACCTTGGCCTTTTCCTAGACAAATAGGGAAGGAATGTTTTCTAAATTGGTAAATCCTTTGACTACATACCTCAATAAGAATTTTAAGGCCTAGTGAAAGGCTTAGATTTCAGGAAGAAAAAATAGTTTCCACTGACAGTACCAGAAGGGGAGGAGGAAAATACTATTGTTTTAAGAGGAAAAAGAAGTCACATTTACCTACTTAAGATTCACATGTGACTATAGCACATTTGGCCTTCCATCTGCCAGAGTTTAGGAATTTAGATTTACCTCTAGAAACATTATTGACTATGGTAGAGTGTAAACTCCAGGAAGGCTTATATTGATAATAATAATGATAATAATACTAAAAACAATAAAAGATAATAGCAGCTATTATTTACCAAATGCCTAGTATGTATTAGCCTGCTTTAAATTCATCTTCTCATTTAAGTCTTATAAAAGTCCCATGAAGTAGAATTTACCTTTGTTTTAAAGATGAGAAAACTGAATCTTGGACTGTATAAGGACCTCCGAACTTCACATGATTAGTGGCAAAACTGAATCCATTCCCCTTAATGATCAGAATTAAAGCCCCTGCCAGATTGGTGATTCCTTTCCTTGGCATCAGGAGCCTGAAGTTACTGAGTAGCATCTGTAGCTTAAATTTTATTGAGACTATTGATAGGCTACCTCTTGGAAAGGTTGTTATTCTGGGAACTAAGAATTCTAGAATATACTGTTGTAATCTAATGTAGGAAGCATGAATCCTCCAAGTGGGTCACTTGGATAAATGATGAGCAAGGTCACTCCTAACTTTACCCTTTGGTCCCAGAGCTACGTTTTCTATCTATTATGTTCATTGCACCATTGAATGGTTGTTGATTTAGGGTGGAAACCACATCCTAGAGTTTAGTGTCCCATGCTTGCAAGGTCACATCTCTAAGCTAGCACTTCAACTGAATATTGAAAATGTTGTCCCATTGCTTCATTTGACTGGAAGCCACAGGGAGTGCAATATGGGATTGTACTATCCTGTGTTCATGTGTCCACCGTCACATGTCCTTTGCTTTGGAGTGATTCTCTTGATTTGAGATGATGTTATGTGTGATGGTGTCCAGTGGATTAAACATTTCTAACTTTGTCAAGGCTCTGTGTGTAGGAAAGGCAAACCTGTACCTGAAATTTGTGACAATTCTAGTTGTAGTGGAGCAAAATTTGCCACCCCAAAATGTGTCTCTTTGACATGAGAATTAATTTAGGTTGATTATTTTTAAGGAACAGAAGACACAGAAAGTTCTTCTTGTTACTCTCCCCCTTAACTACCTAAAATAATTTAGATAAAGGACCCATTCCAGAATAGAGCTATCCCCAGACATATCTGCAAAGAATATAGTATAGGTGTGGTGAGGGAAGCTCAGCAGGGCCTAGAGATCAGAATCCACTCTGTATCCTACCGTCTCTGCATGGCCCAGCAAACATTCTTTCACCAAACATTTGCTTTTCCATCTCCATTTGAATTTTCTTCCCTTTTGAAGACCTAAACCACTACCCCCAGCACCCTCTTTTGTCTTTAGCTGACGATGGTATTTAAGGTGAGGGTTTTGACCATTTGGGGGAATTACTTAGTTTTCCTGGTTCTCTCCCATGTATACATGTTATTAAATTCTGTTTGATTTTTCTCCTGTTAATCTGTCTCATACAAATTTCATTCTTAGCCCAGTCAGTAAAACCTAGAAGGTGAGAGGAAAATTTCTTCCTCCCCAGCACAGTTGCTATAGATCATTACCCTTGCCAGGATTGAAGGTGTACAATGTAGTCAACTTGCCACCAGCTGGTTGTTTGGATTCCTTGAAGGATGGTTTGTCTGGAATTGTCCCAGGTTTAGCACTGAGTGTCCACCACCTGGATAACCCCTCAGTCTTGGACTAACTGGGACTGTTGTCCACCCTCAGTGGTGCTTTATGGAGGCTTTGTTTCATTCTCTGCTGATGGTAGGTTGAACTTGTGCTGTAGCAGTAGCTAGATCAGCTTTGATGAATAGGAGCCTATACATTTGGGCTTATGCAAAGGCTCTATCTTTGTCATTATGGCTTTTCCATTCACAGGCTCAGTGTGCCACCATTAGGGTAACAGTTATCAGAACCTGGCTGATGGGAAATGGCTAACATTTTTGTAAAGGCTTCTTATGTGATAAATGGGCACTCATGGACATCAACATGCAATACAAAGACTGCTTTATTATTACTCCCATAGTCAGGCTTTATGCTTACACCCATAGGTCCATTCATATGCCTTTCCCCGAGACTTCCTTATTTCTTATCTTCTTCTTCCCCCCAGTTCCCAATCAACAAGCTGAGGCATTTGTCAATGACCATGATTCTGTGTATATTCTTTATTTTCAGATGCCCATATCTAAAGTTCTGTTCCCTTTAACTTTGCTCCTTCTACTGTATCAATTATTTATTTCTACATACCAGGTTCCACCCCCCCAAATTAGTGGCTTAAAGCAACAAGCATTTATTAATTTTCATGTTTTTTCTGGTTTGCTGGCTATAGATCAAGTTCATCTTATCTTACCTGGACTCCTTTATGCATCTGCAGTCAGCTGGTGGGTCCATGGGCTCTGACTTGTCAAAGATGGCCTCAGCTAGAATGGGTTTATTCTCCTCCACATTCTCCTCTAGTAGGCTAGGCTAGGTATGTCATCATAGGAGTAGCAGAGTTCCATGAGGAAAAGCAGAAACATTCAAGACTTTTTCAGCTGGAGGATCAGAGAGTGATCAGTCACTCACCATAACAGCCTGAATTACTTATGTGGGTAGACAAGTGGACAATCAAAGCTTGTAGGAATGTCTGAGAAAGTAAGGTCATCAAGCCATGAAAACGAGACCATGAAGAATGTGATCACTGTCATGTCTTTGGAAACTTTCACCTCTGTGGGAGGTGCTGCCGAACATGCGTTGGTGAGTTTGAGGCTGATTTTGGTTGGTTAGGCTAGCAGCTGGGGAGACTGGTTGGACACAGAGTGTAAGAGAGGACTGAGGACAACCTGGGGCCCATCATTTCTCTCACTTCAGTATTCAAATGAATATAAAAGTCTACCATTGTTTCTTTTCTGCTTTGTGTGTCTCGACACAATGATCACATTGTTATGGACATTTCTTTCTAGATTTACTAAGGTAACTCACTTTTTATTTGTTCACTAAACATAATGTCATTCTCTCCTCCAGTCTCCTCAATACACTCTTTTCCATCTTTCCCTTGCCTCTTTCTCTCGATATTTTCACCCTACTTCCTTAGATTCTACACGCTGCACTTTTTGGACAGCTCTCGTTTCCTCAAATTTTGTCACTATTTTCTTTCAACTAAATCCTTACCTGACCTATAGCCAATTCTATTAGGCCACTGTTCTCTATAAATTAGATACAAATCAGTTAATAAATTGAGCCTGCTATCAATTGAGTGGCTTTATGGAGATCCATATCCTATAACATAAGATTGATTCTAACTGGGGAGTATAGACCCTACTGAACATCAGAGAAGAATTTTGGTGTAAGAACAGTGCATTTGTTAAGTAACACAATGCATATTGTTACTGGCTTCATAAATGGATACATTTTCTGAGAAAACTACAGGTTGTAATTTTAAAAAATTAATAAGCTGCTATGGCAGGGGCTGACATCCCAAAGAAGAATTCCTTAGAAGGGAATGATGCATGCTTGTACTTCGCGTACAGCTTCAAAGACTTGTGAAGTCATGGATGAGGCTGGGTGTTACAGGATCTCATGGCACCAAAGGAGTGGAATATGAAAGAATTCTCCTTTTGATATAGCCCTTTGATTTTTCAAAAGTCTGTTTTCTATGATGCAAGACACAGAACAATGCATTTGTGACATACATATTTTCACATTGTGAATATATAATGTGAATTGATATAATACACTTCTCTGCTGCAAAGCTTAATGCATTTATTAATGGTAGATACATGTTATGTTTCAAAAAAGCCCTTACATTTGTGTTGTATTTTATACTGACTCAGGTATTATATGAATTTATATAACAATATTAAGTGATTAAGCTACAAAATTTGTTTTATAACAATAAATTGTATTAGGAATATGCATTTGGAAGTATAAAGAGTAAAGGACCCAGAAGTATGACTAATACTCCAAAAGTGGAGCAGAGCCAAAACAAATACAAATTTCCCCATGACAAGTAATTTTATCCCTGTGCTTTAAAACTAAACCACTTTGGTGAACTTGAAAAAATATAGTCTTTGGACTCAAATTCATTAGATTTTATTACTTTTCTCACTTCACATTTTTACATTTGTGTTTTCTGAACATAGATCCCTTAAAAACCTGCAAAGAATATATTGCTTATTTAGGGAATGTATTTAAAAATGATATTTTAGGGGCAGCAGAAAATTTTTTCAAAAGTCAGAAACTCAATCATACTTCTTCAGTCTTCGTTTCAAACAATAAAAAATTTTGGAGTAAATTTTAGATTGTTTGTTTTCAATGAACTTTATTAATGCACAAAACTTTTGAAAAATATTAAAAGATCTTATTAGAACATATGAATGTTGCTTTTGATAGATTTGCAGCGTAGGAGGAAGTGGTAGAAGAACTATTGAATAATTTTTATGTAGAAAGGCATTATAAAGAACATTTTTAAAAAATTAACTATATGATACAAGTCATGTTGAGTCAGTCACTGTAATTTTATAAAGCCATGGCTACTTTTTAAATGAGACTGAAAAAAACCAAAGGTCATAAATCTAGTGTATTGAATATTTTTTTTTGCAATACTAGCCAATGATCATTGTGTTAACATCCTTAAAAATGCAAATATTAATTTTGTTCCTAGAGTATTTTAGAAATGATACAAATAAGCTCTAAAAAATAAAACAAGTGTTCTTCCCTGTCTGTGATACATATTTCCCCACAAGTACATATACACACTTGATGTAGAAAATAGCCTAAAACTTAACCATGGCAAGAGAAGCAAATTGTCATAAGCTTTAACAGCATCAAAATACTGACCATGATTCAGACAAACCAATTTATCATCATCTTTTAAGTATTTTTCTGTAACCAATTTATTGTATTCAAAACTGTCATGTCATCCCTTCCCTTCTTGTCCCTTCCCTTATTTTCCTTCCCTTTCCTTTTCAACAAGAGAAAAACCTCTGTTCCGCTCATTTTGTGATTTGTTCTGTTATAATGGTCTGTCAGCATATCTGGTTCTATCAGCACTACTGACAGTTTATGTGAAGTTACACTGTCTTTGTAGCAAAGATTATCCCTATAACCCTAGATGGACATCTTCAGATCAGCTTTTAAACACAAAACAAAATGAATGTTTTGTTTTTCTTATTAGGAAGCTTCCATTAGTATATGATACATCTTTCAGTTTTCTTATATACCATTTTCAATCTATATTTGTATATCAGGCAATTCACAGATATTCACTCTTTGTTTTGTTAGTTTAGAGTTGAAATAAGCACATATAAGATTAGCTGAGTATATTTATTTTCTTGGTATTTCCAGGGTAGCTCACAAAACAAATTTCTGTTAATGAAGATGCAACATTACCGGGCTAAAGTTGTGTGCAAGAATTAGTGGTAAAATATCAAAGAGATATGCTTAATTTTTTAGCCCAGGCTTTCCTAACCCTCACTAACTTTATAATGGCTCCCTTTCCCCGAGTAAAATACATTATAGAATACAAAAGGGATTTCTTTCATATACGTGAGTACTAGCTAGTTTACCCACTTAAAGAAAAAAGGGAAAAAGAGAATTTGAAGAGGTAAAAGACAAATGTAAAATTAGAGGGGAAAAAAGAGAAAAACAAATATAATGCAGGAAAAATCATGGGACAGCAATGCAAGAGTGGAAGTGACCTAGCTATAACCCATTTTAAGCATTTCAACCCCTGCCGTATTCAAACTATACACTTTTATACTATGAACCTACAAATGCCCTAGATCCTGTGTCTGAATTACAGATTATGCTTTTAATATCAAAAGCACAAATTGTCACATCGCCATCTGATAAGAATCAGAATATTTTGGACCCTGTAAAATAAAGACTCTATGGGTTTCTGGTCACTAATTAGACCCTATCTATCTCATTTATTTGGTGATTTTAAAAAATACCTTGATTATAATTAAAGATCTCTGGAGAGGTGATTTTGCTACTTATCAACTGCTTGATCTTTTTATATAGGATTAGAAAGAAAGAGAAAACTACTCTGTGATAAGCATTCTGAGATATTGTCAGCCAGAGGGTTTAGCCTAAGGCAATGTATCTCAAGACATTTATTTCCAAAAAAGGGGTTTGTGGCTCCTGCATATCTATAAATTTGGCAACAGATTAACATTTAATGATCTGTGTTAGCTTTCATTTTTGAGTTAAGGTATACTTACCTATGCTTTATTAAATTGCAAAGGTAATTTACAAAGTGTAATCATTAACTTTTTACCGAAAATTAAAGCTATATATATATATATATATATATATATAGGGGGAGAGAGAGAGAGAGAGAGAGAGAATGCCGGTTTTCAGAAGGATTAATACCATGATATTTTTAAAAATTGGAAAGTTGTAAAAATGAACACTTAAATGTAGCTATTATATTTTGACTTGTGGTACCCTTTTCTCTGGGGCTCTAGGCCAGCTAAGCCCTTTTGGTTGATAGCACAGAATAGGGAACTCAATCCAAGAAACAAGCTGCTACAATGTCTACAACAACCAGCCAAAAACACAGAAAAAGTTGACTTTTATTTTTCAATCCAAAATCCCATTCCATAGGTAATGCCAATAATTTGAACAGGTCATGAAAATTGAATGTGCAACTGCTTGATTTATTCAAATTGTTTGCAACTAAAACAGCAGGAGATGCCACAGATGTGGTCCAGAAACTCAAGGGTATACAGGCTTAATTTAACCCCTTTATTCAAAACACAAATTCTTTCCTAACTGATACTGTCATGGAGGAAGACATTTTCCTTCTAGGTTCTTCTGGATGGTCTAAATTAAATTTACATGAGACAGATTAACAGGAGAAAGTCAAACAAAAGTTTAATAACATAGAAGAGACCCAGGAAAACTGAGTAACTCCCTAAAATGGCCAAAACCTTCACCTTAAATACCATCTTCAAAAGAGGATGTTGAGGGTTGTGGTTTGGGACTTCAAAAGGGAAGAAGGAAATTCACATGGAGAAGGAAAAGCAAACGTTTGGTAAACGAATGTTTGCTTGTGCATATAGAGAAAATGGGGCACAGAGTGAACTCTGATCTCTAGGCCCTGCTGAGTTTCTCCCATCACAACCAGCCCATAATCTTTGCAGATATGTCGGGTGATAGCTATATTCTAGGAACAGGCTCTTTTTTTAAAATTGAAATACAGTTGATTTACAATGTTGTGTTAGTTTCTGGTGTACATAAAAGTGATTCAATATATATATTATTTTTTAGATTCTTTTCCAGTATAATTTATTACAAGATGTTGAATATTGTTCCCTGTGTTATACAGCAGGACCTCCTTTTTTATCTATTTTATATATAGTAGTTTGTATTTGTTAATCCCAAACTCATAATTTATCCCTTTCCCCCATTTTTCCTTTGGTAACCTTAAAATTGTTTTCTATGTCTGTGAGTCTTTCTGTTTTGTAAATAAGTTCATTTGTATCATTTTTTTAAGATTCCACATTTAAGTGATATCATATGATATTTGTCTTTCTCTGACTTACTTCACTTAGTATGGTAATGTCTAGGTTCATCTATGTTGCTGCAATGTCATTATTTCATTCTTTTTTATGGCTGACCAATATTCCATTGTATATATATATATACACCACATCTTCTTTAGCCATTCATCAGTCAGTGGACAGTTAGGTTGCTCCCATGTCTTGGCTATTGTAAATAGTGCTGCTATGAACACTGGGGGGAATGTATCTTTTCAAATTCGAGTTTTCATCTTTTCCAGATATATGCCCAAGAGTGGGATTGCTGGATCATATGGTAACTCTATTTTTAGTTTTTTCAGAAACCTACATATTATTCTTCATAGTGGCTGCACCAATTTACATTAGGAAAAGGCTTTTGATCTAAATTCTTTTAAGCAGTTAAGGGAGAGGAAACAAGAAAAACTTCTTGAATCTTCTGTTTCTTAAACATAATCAGCCTAAATTAATCCTCATGTCAAAGAGAGACATTTGGGGATGGCCGATTGCTCCCTTACAATATCAACCATTGTCTGAAGATGAGCCAGAGAATATGGGTCTGCAGGGAAGGGTTTAAAGGTGCCCTGGAGATGCTGGTCTCCTCATCCGACAAAGAAGCTGTGCAAGGCCTGGGGAGCCAGCGAGCTTGTGCTAATTGCCCACTTTTTCCATTTATCCCAGTGCGTGTGCAAAAATTATTTCTTATGTATTCCATGACATTAAAAAAGGTCTCAAAACCATTTTTTCCTAGACAGACTTTCTTCTAAGGTAGAACTAGCTAGGTACATCTTTCACATGAATAATAATTATTGATACTTAATTTTTGGGTAATATTTTTCATTATAATATAATTCCCATAAGATGATGGGGTTGTGGGTTAGAGGTTTGTTACCAACTCACCATGGAGCCATGATTGTGCTGTTTAGTATTATGGAATCCTATTTAGCTGTGCTCTTGCTTCGCCTTCTTTCTTCATTCTAAAGAAGGTAAAATGTAATACAATTCTGTTTCTTTCCCTATCTTCCTTGTTACTACACAGTCATACTGATGCAAACACTCTTCTTAAACTTGCTAAACTAACCCACTTTCATCTACTCACTAAATTGATGTCTTTCTCTTCTCTAATGCTGTTAAGTTGTCTTCTCACCAATACTGTTCACTCAATACTATACTATTTGTTTTTATCCATAGATCAATAGAAATAGCTTTTTTCTTCGTATCTCTGTTAATGCAAGAGGATTTTAAATAACAGAATGACACATTGGATTTTCTATCCTGATGTTTAGGGGAAAATAGATGCTGTCATTTGTTGGGTACTTGTAGTATTGCAGATACTTTTGAAATAATCTGTATTAGTTGTGAAAATTGGCTCTTTTTTGTTGTTTCTAAAAAAGTCATATCAGCAACAATAAAGTCCAGTTTATAGTCAAAAGTGTAAGGCTGGCTTTTTTTCAATTTGAATTTTCTCTACCCAAATAACTCTTATTGCAAGTAGCCATACATATAATTTTCATAAAAATGAAAATGGTTCTGTATTGATTGATTGCTTATAGCCATGTTCCCTGCCTGTTTTATGTATGCTTCCATCCTAAGAGCCTTGAAATTTTTCTTGGTCAGTCATAAACGCTTAGAATATCCCTTTCCCTCTTTTTTTTTTTTTTTTTTTTTTTTGGCGGTACGCGGGCCTCTCACTGTTGTGGTTTCTCCCATTGCAGAGCACAGGCTCTGGACACGCAGGCTCAGCGGCCAAGGCTCACAGGCCCAGCCGCTCCGCGGCATGTGGGATCTTCCCAGACTGGGGCATGAAACCGTGTCCCCTGCATCGGCAGGCGGACTCTCAACCACTGCGCCACCAGGGAAGCCCCCCTTTCCCTCTTTTAAACATGAGAACCATCCAGCAAAGTTTCTATCAGAATTATTATTCAAACATATTTTTTGGCTGAAAATTTTTAACTGTGTTCAAAGCTAGTGGAATAGTTTCAAACATTTGCTAAACATAAGAAAGACAGTAAAACACTTGTTCAGTACGATCAAGAAACACTTTAGGTATTCTTAAACATCCCCAGAAATTCCAAATCTTTAGGGTGGCAACATTCAGGTGAGGGTAGTGTAGGAAGAAAATTTTAATGATACGTGCTGTGTGCATACTTGCGGAGGTGATAATGGTCCCCGGTTAAATTGTAACAGAACCATTGAGGTCAGAAAACAGAGCATACATACAAAGTGTAATATCCTCAATATAAATACTTCTGTAACATGAATTTTTCAAAGCAATGTAATTCTGTATTGCTATAAGCAGTATTATATTTTACCCAAGGAAATTTCCATAAAGAAGCAGAATTGAAGAAAAAACTATACATTGCTAGATACTCTCCATACATAATTTAAGGGTTTCAAATTCTTTAGGATCTATATCACTCCAGCTATTTCACCTATGAAAATTGGCCTTTGTTCCACATCTTAAGATTATTATAGAAAAGTCGAAAGAGGCCATAGGTAAAAATGTTCACACAAAGGGTGAATATACAGCATGCAAACTATAGATCTTCAATAGACCATATGGAGTCAGAAGTAAATTGTAAATAGCCATGGTAAATTGAATCTTGAGAATTATCAGTAGAATTAGAAATTTCTACCAGAGAGAATGTGATTTCACTGTATCACACTTGTTATTATTGATTTATAGTTTTTATTTTATGTTTCTGCCCTTAATAAGCATGGACTGTGAGTCTGCTCTGTGCTACAGACTAAGGTGGAGACCAAGATGATCGTGACCCAGTTCTGCCCTTCAAGGAAGCTAACACTAGTGGGAAGAACAGTAGTATAGGTTAAAAACAAACAAACAAAACCAGAACTACATAGCTATCTTTGTTGAGGTCAAATGGTATTTACAGACTGTCTGTACTTCAGAAATTCAGCCGTGTCAGCAAAAGCAAGTTGTAGTTGGAGAAGTCTCCTAGAAAATGACAAGATTTGACTGGATCCTTAAAGAATGGAGAAAATATGTCTAAACAGAGAGGAGATGGAGAGATCATTGCAGGAGGTGGGCAACCTTCCAGGAACAACAAGGAACTAGGGATTTGTGGTGAATAGCTGAGTCTGGCTTAAGCAACTGATTTCCAATGGCAAACAGCTGGTGAGAAGATGGGAAAGGCAGGCTGGAGTGAGAAGGAAAATGTGGTCCTTCCCCAGGTAGTTGTTAGAGGAACCCTTTCAGGGCTGCCTCTCTCCTGCACAGCAGGTCTAAGGAGGAAGGTGGCACCAGGCAGGACTGTGTGAAAATTTATTATTGCTAATGTTGTTTTGTTTTTTAATTCATTTGGTGGGACTTAAGGCTTATGGAGGAGGTTTGTCTGTATTTTTTCTTTTTGTAAAACTTTGTTAGTTCAATTTTTGCCTAAGGCCTTATTTCCATGAAAATCTTCCTGAGCTGTCTGGAATGTGGGTATCATTCCCTCTTACATAGACCCAGAAAAAATTGAAGCCCTGTCATATATATATATATATATATATATATATATATATATATATATATATATCTATATATATATATATATTTTTTTTTTTTTTTGTGGTACGCGGGCCTGTCACTGTTGTGACCTCTCCCACTGCGGAGCACAGGCTCCGGACGCGCAGGCTCAGCGTCCATGGCTCACGGGCCCAGCCGCTCCGCGGCATGGCATGTGGGATCTTCCCGGACCGGGGCACGAACCCGTGTCCCCTGCATCAGCAGGCGGACTCTCAACCACTGCGCCACCAGGGAAGCGGAGACCTGTCATATTTTTATTGTCCTTCTATGTGTAGGAAAGCAGTTCTTAAGCCTTCCTCAAAAGAGGAAATAGCTCTCTCTGTTCCTAAGGACCTAAAGTGTTTCCACAACAACCAACTTATCCCTCTCTAAGAACCCTCTCACTTGTCCTGGAAGTCTCAGAGGTACAACTGTGTGTTGGCATGTATTTTCTAACAACAACGAATAGTTTTGATCTGTGGCCAATAGGATTAAATTGCTACAAAGTTTGTTGAATGCTCTGAGATTGACTGTGGTCTCCAATTTCAGAACTATTTACTATTTGCCAAACATCACGTAGACCCTCTGACTAGATAGCCTGTCGTCTGGAAACACCATCACAGAGTTCTTAGGTTTGTCCTGGAGGCGATGTGAAATCAGATAATATGACACTCTATTACCAGCCTCCAGTGGTATGTTAGATCAAGAGTGAACATCAGGATGCCTTGGTTTAAGGAATCAAGCAAGTTGAATTTGTCAAGTCCCAGGAGTGGAGGTGACACAGGAAACTGAGAGGAAAGTTAGAGTAGCAGAGAGGGTAGAAGAAGAGGGTAGTGTTATGGAAGTCTTAGCAGAGGAGAGATTTCAAGAAGAAGGAGATGATTAATGCCACAAACAGAAGATAACACACACACACACACACACACACACACACACACACACACACACACACATACACACACATAAACACACACGTATTTTCTGTTACATTCAGCAGTAAGGGTATCATTGGTGACCTTTTTCCAAAGCAATTTTAGTGAAGTGTTAGGGGACCAAAGACACTTAAGAAATGAATGTGATGTAAGCAAAAGAAGACTCAATAATCCTTCAAGGGCCTTGGTAGTGAAAAGAAAAAGAAAGATTTTAGAAAGCTATGGGGTAAAAAGGGTCAATGGAATTTTGTTTTGTTTTATTTTTCGGGGTGGAATAATCTTGTGCATGTTTAGCTGCTGAAAACATGAGCAAAAAGAGTGAGAGAGACTGAATACACAGAGTAAAAAAAGGGTTAATTGACAGAGTAATATATTTGAAGAAATAGGAAGAAAAATGTAGGTGTTGTCATTGAGCAGAAATAGGGTATCCAAAAGGCATCTTATATTCTTCCAAGAATGGAAGTAAGGAGAAAAAGTAGGTTCAGGAAAAAAGGAAGACAGATAAAGAGAAAGCATAGAAGTATGTTGGTAGCTGAAAGAGGATTAAAGTTCATTTTTTAAAAAATTTATTTTGATGTGAAAAATGATAGCATGTGTTTTGGTCTGCTCATCAGGTTCCAGGTTATAAGGTGCTTGATGTGTCAGTAGGATTGTACTTGTAGATCATGCTTGCTATAGATCATGTTTGATTTATTTTTCCTAATGAAACAGATTAAATCTGCTGCTTAGAGTGAGAAAAAAATGCTTTTTTTGCATGGTTAAGTTCAGCCTCAAAATCCCTGTTGCACCCATGCCGGTTTAGAGCATGAACCAGAGCAAGATAATAAGACCTTTAAATGAAACAAAACAAAATTCCTTATACCACTGTGTATCTCAGAGTCCAGAGAGATGGCAAAGAGCTCAATCACATAGGGCCTGTGGGCCACTGTAAGACTTTGGACGGTACGTTGATTAAGGTGGAATACTATTGAAGTGTCTATTGGAATTACAGGATTTAATGTATTTTAAAATTGTCACCCTATATGCAGTGGAGAGTAGACTATAAAGGGTTAAGGATGGAAGGCCGCAGAAACAGAAATCTATTGTGATAATTCAGTGACAGATGAAGTTAGACTGGACTAGGGTTGTCATAGTGCAAGAGATGTGTAAGAAGAGATTAGATTTGATGCATATTTTAAAGTTAAGAGAGGTGATATATTGATTCAAGTGAGATGTCAAAAAAAAGAGGCATCAAGGTTGACTCCAAGATTTTAAAATGTCAGTTACTGAGGTAGAAAACTAAGAGTTTTTTGCAGGGGAAGGGTAAACCTAAAGTCTCTAATAGATGTCTAAAAAGAGATGTCAAGTAGCAAGTATGAGATCTGAGTTTATGAGGGAAATTGAGTTTGGAGAGACAATTAGCATTTAGGTTTAGTTAGCATGTTCATGTCATTTAAGGTAATGCAGTTGGATGAGATAACCAAGGAAGTGACTGTAGGTGGAGGAGTGATGGACTCTGAGATGTGCTTCATGATGTGCCATTATTTTAGAGGCTGGAAAAATTAAGAAAAACAAGCAAAGGAGACTAGGGGAAAGTTAACTGTGAGGAAACAAGAGTAACTAAAATAGACATATATCATAGAAGTCAAGGGATGAAAAAATTACAGATATGAGTTAGTGGAAAAAAATGGAACAATTGTTACGTTTGATAGATTAGGAAGAGAATTAAGAATTTTCCATTGGTTTTGGCAATCTCAAGGTCACTGGTGACACTGAACATAACAGTTAATGTGGAGTAACCAGGATAAAAGAGTGATTGGACTGAGTTCAAGAGAGGAGACAAATTGGGAATCATGGGTATAGAAGCTACATTTAAAGAGTTTTATTTTAAAGGGAAAGCAGAAAAATGTGTTGGTAACTGGAAAGGAATGTGAGGTCACAATTTTAAAAATAGTTTTTTTTAATATGAGAAATAGCATTTGTTTTTGGCTGGTGCTTATGTTTCAGATCAGAAGAAAGAATTAATGATGAAAGAAAGAAAGGAACAGTAGCGGATCAGTGATGGGATCCACTGCAAAAGTGGAAGAGCTTGGCCTTGTGTGGGATTTTGAAAAGTTTATCCCTGGCAACAGGAGGAAATTCATAGAATACAAGTAGGGAGCCAGATCAGCTGGGAGATATGGTGGTGGTCATTGGGGAATTTAACTTTCTCTTCTGACATTTTTTTCCCCCAGAGGAATATGAATAAAGGTCATCACCAGAAAGTGAGAATCATGGAGGAGGTATTGGATGCTCACCGGGAGAGCAAGATTTAATTTTACTATCTCATGTAATAATACAATTTTTTATATCTCATCAAAATCTCTGGTCCACTGATTCTGTCATCTTTTTTCATCATCCATCAGCCCCCTCCATGCTTCACTTCATTTCTTAGCCCATAGCATGATAGTCTAATCACTTCCTGGAAAGTGCTCTCAACTCCCTGGGCTCCTTAGACTCCACTCATGTGTGGCTGGTGGGAAGCATACATTGGTTCAGTGCAAAAGCCTCCTTTATTTATGATTGTATTCATGCTGCTGAATGCTATAGGAGAACACTATAAGGCAAGGTTGCATGATTTCATTTTAATTACATAAACATAAACTTAATAGTTAATACTTATTGAACACCTATTTTTATCTAGAAAATTTGCTTGTTCATCTTCTGACCATGATTTTTCTCTCTTCTTAACTTACTTATGTCTCCTTCCTTTCAAAATAATGACTTTACCTCACACTTCACTAAGAAAATTGAAGCCATCCAGTGGGATGCATTCATCTTTCCATCACCAAATTTATAAATTAACCTGCAGCTGCAACGATATTTTCTTCATTTTCACTAAAACGGTGATGATGAGAAAGTGCCTCACTTTCTCAAAGCCCAAATCTTCCACATATGCGACTGATCCCATTCTTCCTTGTCTTTATAAAGACATATCTCTTCTATTTTCCATCTGTCCACTATATCATAATTCTATTTGTTTCCATCAGCACACTACCTACTTTTTTGTAAAATGAAACTCTCGGTGCTTCTTGTATTTAAATTTTCACTCAATTTATTAAATCAAAGATTTAATATGCTTGGTTTTCTTAAAAGTTTCAAAGATGTAGAAAAATAAATGCAACACTTGCAGTGTATCTCAATCATTCCAAACTTATCATTATGTCTACACGTAGTTCTAACATAAATTATCAGTACCATTCACTTATGCAATTCTCTTTTATTTTTGTACCAGTATTGTAACTGCACTTACTAATCAAGCACAGCTTCACTTACCTGAGCAAGGAAGGTAGCATAGCCATTCTGGCTATGGCCAGTTGATTCTTGCCCAGAAATCGGATGTGTCCCCAAGGTGATTGAAACTCAAACCACATTAGGTATGTTGTGTCCCTTCTCAGTTTAAGTTTTGCCAGCCACTTCTATGGCACTTTCCAAATCCTGCCTATTAGCAATGGCTTCCTGTGTCATCGAAACTTAAATTTTATTTTTGAAATTCAAGATCTCTGAGTCAGCAGAATTTGTTTCCCATCTTTCAGTTTGGCACCATCCTTTGTACCATTTAAAAAAAAAAAAGTTTTTGACCCTTTCTTAAATCTCCTAAACAACTTTGACTTAGTGTATCTAGGATGTAATAACCAGATCTTCAGTTTTCTATGCTTTCAGCTCCTGTTCTATGGTATAATCTATCAGAATCTGTAAAATAGCAATACTACAGATACGTTCTAGCGTATCCTCATTTAAAAGTGCTTTCTTTTGCTCCAAATATGCCTCATTTATTTACTCCTCTTATTGTCACAAATTCTTGATAGAGCTGTTGTATAACCAGTGTCTACTTCTTCTACACCTAAGATAAGGAAGAATAATACTCTTACTTCACACCGAGGATCATTTTTATTATACTTCTAGTCCTTCTCACTCAATCTACTTAAGATGAGTAGCATGTGCTATTGGTGATTTTGGGAAAGGAACAGAATGTACATGGATGGCTTTTGAATTAGTTAAGAGTATGAGTTATCAGGGCTTCCCTGGCACAGTGGTTGAGAGTCTGCCTGCCGATGCAGGGGACACGGGTTCGTGCCCCGGTCCCGGAAGATCCCACATGCCGCGGAGCGGCTGGGCCCGTGAGCCATGGCTGCTGAGCCTGCGCGTCCGGAGCCTGTGGTCTGCCACGGGAGAGGCCACGACAGTGAGAGTCCTGCGTACCGCAAAAAAAAAGAGTATGACCTATGGCTAGTGAGAAGCTGCTGCATAGCCCAGGGAGATCAACTCAATGCTTTGTGATGACCAAGAAGAGTGGGATAGGGAGGGTGGGAGGGAGGCTCAAGAGGGAGGGGATATGGGGATATATGTTTACATATAACTGATTCACTTTGTTGTACAGCAGAAACTAAAACAACATTGTAAAGCAATTATACTCCAATAAAGATGTGAAAAAAAGAGAGTATGAGTTAAAAACGTAAACAAAAACAAAAAACATAAAATAAAAACCAAAACAAGAACCCTGCAAAGACTCATTGGATTCAACAGTTTATTTAACTCTCAATTTTTGGCTTAGAGGTTGGCAGAAGTTTCAAGGGGGTTAGGCATGCTGGCTGAGGAACATCTATTATCTTCAACAACTGGCTTCCATTTCCTGACTGAAAGTGTCTGTTCCAATTATCACAGTTTCCCAGCAAGCAGGAAGGAGAAAAGAGGAAATGGAGGGAAAGAAGCCTTTTTTTTTTTTCCTAGATGTCACCTGTGTGTTGCACATATCCCTGTACTCTCAATTCAGTTGAGACTGTGGCCACTTAACCACGAGGGAAGCTGAGAAATTTTCTTTTTATTTGGGCTTTCCTGGCTCAAAATCAAAGGGAAAGGTAGGTTGTTAACAGATGGATGAATGGGTAGTGAGGGGTGATTAGCAGTTTCTTTTCCTCTGGCCACTCAAATATTAATGCATATCATCTCCCACACTTTTCTCCAAAAAGATAGTACAAAGTTCCATTCTGCACAGAGTCCACCATCTTTGGGTAATATGTAATGCTCTTCACTGAGTCTGGATGTTACTCTTCAAGGTCTTGTGACATATACATTGATAAACAAATTATTGCCCTCACTCCCTAGTATACGCACACACACACACACACACACACCCTAATACACAGTATAATGGAAACAGAATATTGTCAATAAAAGCCCTATTTTGGCCATTCAGAATTAGAAAGAATAGGCAACACATAGCCCTCACTAGTTCATAATAATGATGAACTCCTACTCGGGCAGGAATTATAAAGACTTTCTCAATTTTCAGTGGAAAAGTTCCTTGGTTAGACCTTTTCTTGTCTGGTTTGTCCAAGCTTTTGGCTTGCCTTCTGAAGATTCTTTCGTGTCTATTATGTAGTCATTGTTTTCAATCATTTATGCTTTTATTTATTTATATTCTTCCATCTATTCTTCCTTCCTCAAAGTAACTGAGGTTACATGAGGCTATTTAATAGAAATAAATAGTTTTGGCTGGGAAGAA